CCATTTGAGGTGGGAGTGAGGGAAGTCACCAAGTAAATTTCAAACTAATTACACTATTTGGGAAGATCTGTGATCTAGGGGAAAGTATGTAGTCTTTGTGAATTAGTACAAACCTGAGGTTTTAAAGTATGAAGCTTCATTCAGTTCTGATATGTTTTAAGTATGTATTCAACTAACAGCTCTAAGAATTGATATTGATCAACATTTTTTAAAAAAGGCTCCATTCAGTAAAGAAGCAGAGAAATCAGCAATCCACAGAAGGCATAACAGAGTCAGCAGTAAAGTCAATGAAAATGTATACAGGCTTGGTGACCATCAGATCAAACACACCCAAGGTCTCCTCTCTCTCTCGGACTTAACAGGAGAACCTCTCCTTACATCTGTGGATTGCTATCCTACCCCTGTATAGGTCTTACAGTAGAAACAACTAAATTCTCTTAAGTACTCAGACTTTTTCTGAAGCAAAGCTCCAGGGCAGCTTTTAAAGGAAAGTCAAAATATGTGAGGGCTGTTGACAATTTAAAGTATGAAAAATGGCGGCCAAGCTTTGGGACTTGAAACAAAATTATACAGTGAAAATTTCTCATCAGAATATTCTATAGTTCACTTTCAATAACAAATATTTTAAAGAACTGTAGCATAAAAGATGGGACTATAAGAAGCTTTTGCTAAGTAAACTCAATTTCCTTAATCCACACAGCCTCTAGGTGGAGTACATAAGCATGGCACCTTTTTGAAAGATTCCTTTGCAGCTTCAGTATGACTCAGCTTAAACTCTTACAAAAGTACTAAATAAATGCCCAGTATAAGTGCCCTGGGAAGTGAAGCAGACATGTCAAAGTAAGGTGTATTCCTGACATTAGTACTGTAAAGATTCTGATAGGATTCAGCTTGGTTCTGAAACGATCCCATTACAAATGGAACACGTCAATGGCAGGTTTCAACCATCCATTGTCAAAGCCCTGTAACAACATCCTGAATCATCTTAACTTCCTTGTTGAGAACTGGCTCCTAAAATGGAAGATACCACTTGAGAAATACCAGTAACTTCAAGAAGTTCTAATGCCTAAAACACTGTAGTATAAATTGGAAGGGACTCATTTATTGTATTTCTCTTGCATTTGTCCATTTTTATATGCAACTGATAGTAAAACTAAAAAAAGTAGTCTAATGGGCATGAAAATGGACCTAGTGGCTGAAATGCTTATGGCAGTACTTTAGTAACCAAATAGTTTCAAAGTTCAGTAATAAGGAAAATCCCCTTTAATTTTTATTAGCAACGGCCCATTTAAGAATTAGTTTAATAAATGAATCGTCTTCAAAATGTGCCTACTTTTGTATGTGCATATGTGCTTTATATTTGTAGTAAAACTGCAATGTACGGAAGAGCACACACTAAAGTGTTAATTATGGTTACTTCTGAATGACATGGTGGTGGAAGGTATTGAGTACAGAAGACTGTTACTTTATATATGTATGAACAACTTTTTAAAAGTTTATTATAATGAGCATATGTTGTTTTTGTAATTGAAATAGTTTACACGCTACCTGAAATACATTATACAGGGATTAAAGGCTAATTTTTAAAGTGAAAATGCTTTACATGCCTTGATTAGCATGTAATTTAAGATGCATTTTGCCTAAACATAATTGTAAGTTCAAAAAAAGTCTGTCCCCTATTTAGCTGTAAAATTACCATCGATGAAGTAAACTTTTTTTTTCCCCTTGAAATTTTGAAAATGGAGCTCTGGATGGTTTTAATAAAATCGTAAAGACCTTGGCAGATTTTAGCTTTCTAAATTTTTTACTGCAGATGCTGTCTTTCTCAGGACCTTAAAACGTACTTTAAAAAAATTACTAAATTTTGCGTTGCCATCAGGGCTTTATTTCCTAGCCCACTTTTGTGTTTTATGTTCAGGGTATTTGGATGTGGAGTTGCTGTAATTAGATTTCAACATGTTCTTGAAGGAAGTCTTTCAGACTACTTAGAAGCCAGTGATTAAGTCCTGGAAATTGTTTAAATATTTTACTTATTTCTGCTCTCAGGTTAAATGTAACTTGCTAGCTTAGCAATATGTTTCTTCCTGAGAGAGGAGAGAAGATTTCAGTCACTAAGGGTGAGGAGCCCACGTTGCTCGGGGCGAGCCTGCGCGCCAGCATCCCCGGGCGCCCCGAGCATCCTGGGTGCCGGCCGGGGAGAGCCGGCCCGGGAGCACCCGCGGCCCCCGGAGAGCGCGGGCCCGTGGCGCCGAGGGGCCGAGCCTGCGCCCGCCTCCCCCGCTGGTTGGTCCAGGGAACCAGAAATCAGCGCGAGGACAGCCTCGCTCCCCTCCCCGAAGCGGCCGGGCATGGCCACCCCGGAGTCCGGTAACTCCAGCGTAAGCGCTAAAAATGGATGTGCCTCTTGCTCGGGGGCAGGAAGGTGGGCAGGCGGGGCGCCGCGTTCGTCACCCGCGGAGAGGAGGCGTCGTGACGCCGGGGTCGGTGGCCCAATTCTCTACTCTCGGTAAGATGGCTCCGCTGCGAACTCGCCGGCGCCGACCACACACATGCCTTTGCCTTCCCACCTCCTCGCCGGGGCCGCGGAGGCTGTTGGGTGCCCGGGGCCAGCCCGGCGCGACCCCCGGCCGGCGCCGCGGGCGCGAGTGCGGGTCTCGCGAAGCGCCCGCCCGCCAGACAAAGCTGACAACATGGCTACCTCCGCTCGAACAAGTTCCTCGCAAGTTGAGCCGCGGCAGGCGCCCCGGCGGCGGCCGAACGCCGCGCGCGCCTGGCCGGCCGTCGTCCATCAACTTCAAGTTTCCCTCCGCAGAGCCGAGCCCGCAGCCCGCTCGGCGCCGAGCCCCGGCCGCCCGCGCGAGGCCGGGCCCGGGAAACTTTCAACGTCTGCAGCCCGCAACTGACAGCCCGGCGGCGGGCGGGCGCCCGACTCACCTTCAGACAGGTCCTCGATGCACTCGAAGGTGATCTCGAACTGGAATGGGTTGTAGAAAGGAGAAGGGTTATCCAGCACCACTACATTGTTCACCTGAACCTTTGCCATATTTTGAAAAAAACACAAACAATGGGGACGGGGGGCTCGTTGCGGCACAATAAAGTCCAGCGCGCGGCCGCTCGGGAGAGCGCAGACCCCCGCCCCGGCGCTGGCCCGACGTCGTGCAGCGGCGACTTGAGAAACTTTTTTTTCCTCTTTTTATTTACACGGGAACACTCCACAGTGTTTTGCAGCTTTCCTATTTCACTAAACTACAGCCCATTCTGCTCTGATAACTAGCAGCGTTGCCCGCGATTGGCTGCACCCGAGCTCTGACCCTCCTCCTCCAGCGAGGGCCTCCGCGGCGAGCAAGATGGGCTCCCGCTCCCGGAATGGACTCGGAAACTTTAACTGCGGCTCCACCTGCTGGTGTGGATTAGGACAAAGGCGGAGAACAAAGTGAGTGGAATACGGGCTGGGAGGCCCGCGCGGAGGCCGCCGGCGGCGGCGGCAGCAGCGGCGGCGGGGGGAGGGGCGGCGTAGGCCCCGCCCCCGGCCCGGCGGCTCCCGCGCCTCACGTCGGGCGTGGCCGCAGCGGGGCGGGGTCTCGGGGGCGTGGCCACGGCGAGGCGGCAGGAGGCGTGGCCACGGCGGGGAGGCGTGCTCGCCGTGGGTACGGCGGCGGGAGGGCGCGATCCTGGCGACGCCCGCCCCTCGGGTTTGTGTAGTGGGTTGGTTTTGTGTCTCTTTTTTTTTTTTTTCCTTCTGACGCTTTCTTCACATCAGTCCGACGGCTGTGTCGGCTCTCTACTGAATTTAGGAAATGCGAATCCGTTGTCTACACTAGGTTAGGTTCAGTTGTCTGTATACTGGATAATATTTGGGTTAGAGGGAAGGATTGGTTGCAGTGGAAGTAAATCGCATTTTATAGACTGATGTCAGTTCAAAAGGAGCAAAGCCATTTTGGAAATCTAGTTCTTGGCCAATATCTACGTTTGGGCCCGACAGCACCGTTAGTTAAATAGATAGAAAATGAAGGGCGAGGAAACGCTTTTCCACCCACACTTTGTGGACTAGGTAATATTTGGGCTGCCCCAGGGTCGTCTTCCTCCCGTTCCAATCTGGAAAGTCTAGAATAAAAAGATGACTTGAGGTTGGATCACTTACACCCCATATTTCTCCTGTTCGGTGGATACAGCAGGAACATAAAAAGGAGGAAATGCAAGTGTCAGAAGACCAAAAGGCAACAGATATAAGCAGAAAAGGGAAAAGGAATAGAGACCACGAAAGCATACCAAGACATGCGATTTTCCAAAAATTCATGGCCTAAACCGTTAGTAAGTAAAAATGTATGGCACCACGAACAAGTTCAGAGGAATCTTTATTATTCCGCATTCAGTGTCAATTTATTTGTTCTGCTTGACTACCTTTGTAGGGAAAGGGAGAGCTTGTAACACATTTGTAAGGTTGTTGAACTGTTTCTATTTTCTAAACAAGAGCAATATAAAGGGATTTTTTCGTGCTGCATAAACCATCATTTTTTAAGTATTTTGAATGAAACCACTAAACTTGGGTAATTAAATTCAGAGAGAAAATTATTTAAGTGTCATCTATGCTGAAAGTTTTCTCTTAGTGTAGTGCTGAGAATTTTTCAGTTAACATTCTTTGGACATTGTTCATTGCAGGTTGCTTTTAATGAGACTTCTGCATCTGATGGTCTTTTGAAAGCTGATAAGAGACAGCTAGGGAGGCCTGGCATGCTGCCGTCCATGGAGTCACAAAAAGTCAGACACAATTTAGCTACAGAGCAACAACAGGGACAGTGAATCCCAGGCCTCCCACATTTAGGGAAACTACTTAGAGTGAGGGTCCCATCTTATCATCGATGGATTAACACATACCACAATCTACCGGAAAGGTTTCCTCAAGCCCAGTTATTTGTACAAATTAGAGTGTAAGAGCCATACTGTGGTGACAGGTGCAGATCACGTTGACTGATAAACCGTCTTCTCTTCATTGTTGTTAGTGTTGTTAGTGCCTCAGGCTGCCTCGGATGGAGTGCAAATTGCCGTAAGACACACAGGACACAGAAGAGAACCATTTGAAGTAGAAAACAAGATCCTCCTGAGACTTGTATATACGCGCTTTCCTCATTATTGCAGGCATTGTGAGGAGGAGACTGAAGTCCATTTGCTGTATAAAAATGACTTGATAAGCTTGGTAAAAATCAAGTGCATTTTCAATCTGCTCATGTTCTACGTCCCTTTAGTTATATCTGACTCCTTGCGGCCCTATGGATTGTACCCTACCAGGCTCCTCTGTCCATGGCTCATAGGTATGTCATTATAAAGCGTGTAAGATTTGTTCTAGTGTCAAGAATGAGATTTGCCTGGATAGTACTACTGGGTTGGCTGAGGAGTTTGTTGGAGTTTTTCCGTAAGGTGTTATGGAAAAACCCAAAAACCTTTTTGCCAACCCAGTATTTTTGGCTTATTTTCTTAAACTCTTTTGTATAACATGTCATATATAAGAGTATTTAAGGGGCGGGGGAAGCCCTTCCTAGTAACTCACTGGAAGCCTCAAGAATTGGCTCCAGGCCTTTACTGTTGCCTTTCCTATCTTAACTCGCGTTGTTACTGCTCCTCAAAAGTATTAAAGAGCCTTTGGGTACTGGCTCTAGTAGTTTGCTCACCAATGATAATACCTTCCAGGAAGACCACAGGGATTTCCAGATGTGCCCTTGTGTACTTCTAAATTAAATGGCATGCCTTATGGGGGAAAGATTGTAAAAGCGTTATTCTGGTTTCAGAGGCAGTGTGTAACATTTGTTGCTGAACAACTTTTTGGTGACTCAGACAGTTAACCACATTGCAGCAGACAGGTTGCCATGAACGCTGTCATATGTGAAGTACCCACAGGGCCCCACGTGACACTTGGAGGGCTACATGCAATGTAATCCTCAATCACATCTCTCAGTATAGCCAGCTTGGGGCAAGGGTGGCTGAGAAAGGTTGCTCTGGCTCTGAAATGAGCAAAGACTAAGTTAATGCCTAGGACAGAGATAAATGAACCTAGTTAGCTATTGTTATGGGCTGAATTGTGCCGTTCTCTCTGCCCCCAAATTCATGTGTATGCCCCCAGTACCTCAGACTGACTGTAGTTGCTGACAGGGCCTTAAAAAGAGGTGTTTAAGTTAAAGTGAGTCCCTTAGAGTGGGCCCTAATCCATTCTAACTGGCTTCTTTATACGAGGAGGAAGTTTGGACATAAAAAGAGATGCCAAGGGCACTCATGCACAGAAGAAAGACCACTTGAGGACACAAGAAAGTGGCCATTTGTAGGTCAAATGAAACCAACCTTGCTGACATCTGATCCTTTACTTTTAACCTTCAGAACAGAACTGTGAAAAAACAGGTTTCTATTGTTTAAGCCACCCAGTCTGGTGTTTTGTTGTGGCAGCCCTAGCAATCTATGTATGTAATCCGCTGCTTGTTCATTTATCAGGGGGGTTCTATGGCGTGAAATGATGTGGTCATTTAGGTTGTAGGTTGTAGTGTGGGGTTGTGTGCTGCAGACATTTCTCAGAGAAAGTACCTGCTGTTATGCATACACACCTTAAATTCTGAACAGACTAGATGCAGCTTGCTTCTGAGTTTCAAAGCTCATGTACAGAGGGCTTTTCAGACTGTTAATAAATTGAGGTCCCACACAAAGCTACATGAAAGAGTGAGTTAAATGTACTAGAATCAAACTGAATTATGATTGTTGTTCAGTCACCCAGTGGTGTCCGACTCTTGCGACCCCATGGACTGCAGCACTCTAGGACTCCCTGTCCCTCACTCTCTCCTGAAGTTTGCCCAAGTTTTTGTACATTGCATCTGTGATGCCATTCAGCCATCTCATCCTCTGATGCCCTCTTCTCCTTCTGCCCTCAATCTTTTCCCAGCATCAGAGACTTTTCCAATGAATTGGCTGTTCGCATCAGATGACCAGAATACTGGAGCTTCAGCTCCAAAGAATATTCAGGGTTGATTTCCCTTAAGATTGACTGGCTTGATCTCCTTGCTGTCCAAGGGACTTTCAGGAGTCTTCTCCAGCACCAGTTTGAAGACGTCAATTCTTTGGCATTCTGCCTTCTTTATGGTCCAGCTCTCATAACCACTGGGAAAACCATAACCTTGACTATACAGACTTTTGTTGGCAGAGTAATGTCTCTGCTTTTCAAAACACTGTCTAGGTTTGTCATAGCTTTCCTGTGAAGAAGCAAACATCTTCTGATTTCATGGCTGCAGTCACCATCCACAGTGATTGTGAAGTCCAAGAAGAAGAAATCTGTCACTACTTCCACCTTTTCCCCTTCTATTTGCCATGCGGTAATGGGGCTGGATGCCATGATCTTAATTTTTTTCAATATTTAGCTTTAAACCAGATCTTTCACTGTCCTCCTTCACCCTCATCAAGAGGCTCTTTAGTTCCTATTCGCTTTCTGCCATTAGAGTGGTATCATCCACATATCTCAGTTGTTGATGTTTCTCCTGCCTATCTTGATTCCAGCTTGTAACTCATCCAGCCCGGCATTTCTCATGATGTGCTCAGAGTATAGACTAAACAAACAAGATCACAGTAGACAGCCCTGTCATACTCCTTTCTCAGTCTTGAACCAGTCAACCAGGGTTGTAACTGTTGCTTCTTGACCTGCATACTGGATTCTCAGGAGACAGATAAGGTGGTCTGGTATTCCCATCTCTTTAACAGCTTTCCACAGTTTGTTATGATCTGCAAAGTTAAAATACACTGAATTAAAATGTATTAGAACTGAGAATTAAGTCAAATCTCAGACACTGCCTGCTGCAGAAGTTTTCATAGGTATGGAAATGTTGACCTCTTGCCTTTGTTTAATTCCTAAATTTCACCTGGCACAATGATTTGTCATAATAAATGATTTCTATCTATATATTGGTATATTAATATCAATATAAGTGGTAATTATTTGTCACTGTACTGAATTCTCTTTGAGAACACATTTGTGTTATTGTCCCCATCTTTTAAAAAAAATTCTCATTTAAGGCTGGTTGTAATATGATCTTTAGTTAAAAGAGCTCCCTGTTATTGTTTCAGTTCAGTTCAGTCGCTCTGTCGTGTCCGACTCTTTGTGACCCCATGAACCGCAGCACGCCAGGCCTCCCTGTCCATCACCAACTCCCGGAGTTTACCCAAACTCATGTCCATCGAGTCGGTGATGCCATCCAGCTATCTCTTTCGTCCCCTTCTCCTGCCCCCAATCCCTCCCAGCATCAGGGTCTTAGGATGTCACAATTTAATGATTTTTTTTTAAGGTTTATTTATTCTGGCTGCCCAGGATCATCATTGCTGCGTGCAGGCTTCCTCTAGTTGCGGTGAGTGGGGGCTCCTCTCTAGCTGTGGCATGCAGGTCTCTCTCTGCAGTGCCTTCTCGTGTTGCGGAGCATGGCCTCTCGGGCGGCGGGCCTCAGTAGTTGTGGCTATCAGGCTCTAGAGCACTGATTTAGTAGTTAATGGATCACTGACTTAGTTGCTTTGAGGCATGTGGGATCTTCCCTGACCAGGGGTCAAAATCATGTCACCTGCATTAATTAGCAGGTGAATTCTTAACCACTAGGCCACTGAGGAAGCCCTAACGATAGTTTTAAAGATAAACTTCTCTATGAATGTAGAATGTAGAGATTTTCTGTAGTTTACAGATGTTTCTAGAAGGAATAGCTCCTACAGTAATGATTTTACTAATAGTAACTCATTATACATGTAGAGAGAGACACCATTTATTATGTGAAATTATTGTGCTAGACTCTGTGGAATATTCAAAGACAAAAACGTACATGGATATTATCCTCAAAGATCGTTTGGTCCAGTAGGAAAGGTGACTATGTAATCACATAAGTGTGGTACAGGCTAGAAAGTATTAGATGCACCTTGAACAGTAATGGTTAAAGTTATATGGGAACTAAATTTTGATGTCACAAGAAAGGCTGTGTGTGTGTATGTGTGTGTGTGTGGTATGTATACAGATATGTGGTACATATTTATATACATATGGTATGATGTTTTCTTTACTATTTGTAAAAAGCTTTTAAATAACCTGGTTTTGATTCTTGGCAACACTCAGGTATGGTAGCAAAGTAAGATTAGCCCCATATAACAAATGAGGACTCGGCCGCTCAGGTTCCTGCTCCCTTAATTGCTGACTTAGTGTTTCTCTATTTTCTCTCCACTGTGTTGGATAATGTTTAAAGTGGACTGTATGGGTAGAAAAGCAATTGGTATAATTTCCTGGAAGAACCCACAGGCTGGCAGACACTGTAGTAATGACTTGATTAATGAACTCTTGAGGAACGAAGCTCCATGAATGAGGTTTGCCCAGGTAGATACTGGGAGTGAAAGGAGGCTGCAGCCGAGGCAGAGCTGTGTTTGTGGGAGCTCCCCGTTGAAGCTGCAGATGCCGGGCTTCCTGTTGCAGGAGTGACTGGGAGGTGGGGGACGGTGGATCCCGGAATTTATCCTTATGCTTTTAATAAAGTTTTCATGTTCGTTTCATAAAGTACATCCCCTTCCTCCATTCTCTGCTCCACCTCATTAACAACAGTTTCCCTGTTTTGTATTCAGTGCTACCCACCATTAGGTTACAAGTTTGCTGAAGAGAGAAGCTGTGTCTGGCCCCTTACCCAAGCTGGGCTATACTGTTAAATACCTTTTGGAGCTCATCCATATTAGTCAGCTTTCTGAAGCACCATAGTTACGTTTCTTGTGGACAATCTTTTGATGCTAACATTATGGTATTGTTTCTGACCAGAAGAATATGGATGGAAATCCTTGATAATTTTCTTGTTTCTTGTATCTCGTTTATAACCTGTTCTTAGTCCTTTTGTAAATGAAGCTCCTAAACTTATTTCCTTCTAAACTCAGTCTCTATTTGAGTCCACTGTCCTTCATGTTTTACATTCCATCCTTTTCTCTTTCAATCTCCACCTCTCCCATTTGTTAGAAGCTTTCTCCTTTTCCTGGTACCAGGAAGAATTCAGTGATAAGTAGAGAGAGGACTCAAATCTTTAAAACATCTTCATACTAGACCACCGTTTGCACAAAGCCACTGCTCAGCATAGCAGCTTTTTTAGTTGGTTACTATAGAGACAAATGGCATAAGATGGAGTCACGCTTGACAGAAGTAATCTAGGCAAGTAATCTTCCTGAGATTGGAGACCTTATACACGGGGTTGTTTAGAAAAGGTAGAAGACTAGAAAGGATAGGAAGGGGAAAGGTTTCACAAATGAACTAATAGGTGATTAATTGGTAGATTTTATC